TTTTAAATACTGAATATTTGGACTTTACTCAACAATTAGTTTTAAAGATGTACTGCCCTTGCTGGTATTCACCTTCACAAGGTACGCTCCACTTCTCAGGTTTTCAATTGCCACGCGCTTCATTTCTTTGGGCTGGTAGGATGCCGCTTTTTGTCCACTCATGGTGTACACATCAATGCTGTTAATGTCTAAAGCGTTTTCCCAGCTTAGATTGGCTCGGCCTTTTGCAGGATTGGGGTACAGGCTAAAGTCTGAAGCCTGAACCTCTTGCACGCTGAAGGTTGCCGGGTCTACTACGTTAACCGTAAATCCGTTTTTATATACCAAGTTACCGTTTGCGTCAAAGCCAATGCTATCGCAAAACATACTGGAGCAGGTGTCGTTTCCATCTACCGCCACAATGGTGAGACAAATATTGTACACCCCAGTAGCCGAAGCATAGGTATGACTTGGGTATTGTCCGTTTAACACGGTTCCATCGCCAAAGTCCCAAGTCCAGCTGATAATATTTCCGCTGGAGGTGCTGCTGTTTTCGCCCAAAATAATTTGGCTTTGAAACTGTCTACTGTTCACCGTATCTACAAAATAGCTGGCCTGGCAAGTCATGGGATTGCCACCGCCTCCGGTTGCTACAGCAGAGTCGCAGCTTGGCGTACATCCCGCGTAAGCGGCAAAACAATACCCAAAGGCACCCGGCTGGTTGGGCGTATAAACGGTGGAAGTTCCATACTGCTTCACCGAACCATTAAAGGTCCATTCGAAAATGGGTCGCCCGGGAATGCTGCTCAAATAAGTAGAATCGCGAAGAATTACCGCTTCGCCCAGCATGGTGTTGTTTACCGCTGAAGGGTTTACCCGGGTTAACACATCGCAGGCTTTGGGTAAGCAGTGCAACCATAAATTTTGCACGCCTTGAACAAAATTGGCCGTGGTGGCACCCCACTGAAATGTTCCACTGCAATTAAATGCGCCCCAAAAGAGGGTGTCAGTGGCAGTCATGTTGGAGAAATTAAAACTTACATCGCCATTAACATCGGTGTAGGCCCACTGCACGTAGTTTTCCGGAGTTAGGGTAAAACCGGTGGGGTTGCCTTGAATCAATTGACTTTGATCGTCATAAAAAAACACGGCCACACCGGGCGCTACGGTTCCGCTATCGGTAACATTAATGTTTACTGTTCCGCTAATTTGCGCGAATGCCTGACTGGCTATAAAGCCAAACAAAAGGGTTAGTACAATTCTTTTCATAATATTTTGAATTTAGATGCTTGTATTAGTGAATACGTAACTCCCACAGAAAAAGGGACAGCAAAAACTTAAAGCCAGCCTTGCCTGCCCCTTGTTGCTGGTTTACACCCTTTCACCAAATAATCATAAATACTTTTATACCAAGCCTTTATGCCTACCTTTACGACACATTAACCACCAAACATCATTTTTGAAATGAAGGCAATAGTAAAGAGAAAATATGGAGGCCCGGAAGTTTTATCGCTCCAAGAAGTTGAAAAACCCAGCCCTAAAGACCATGAGATTTTAGTACAAGTAAAGGCAAACTCGGCCAACCCAGCCGACTGGCACGTGATTAGAGGAAAACCCTATTTCGCCCGCCTGTCTTTTGGCCTGTTTAAACCTTCCAAAATAATTGCCGGCTCCGATTTTTCTGGAATTGTGGAAGCCGTGGGCAAAGAGGTAGTTCACTTCAAAGCGGGAGATCGGGTCTTTGGAGAATCGCTAGCGGGCGGTGCATTTGCCGAATACATCTGCCTGAAGGCCCACCAATGCGGCCACATGCCAGCTGCTGCAGCTTTCACTGAAATGGCCGGGCTGCCCATTGCCGGATTAACCGCCCTACAAGGTGTGCTGGAACACGGCAAACTCAAAAAAGGAGAAAGTGTACTTATCAACGGGGCGTCTGGAGGTGTGGGACACTTGGCCGTGCAAATTGCCCATGCACAGGGAGGAAGAGTTTCCGGGGTTTGTTCGGCTAAGAACGAAAGCTTTGTAAAATCGCTGGGCGCGGAAAGGGTGATAGCCTATGATGCCGAGGACATTCACAAGCACTCAGGTAAATATGATCTTATAATTGACACCCACGGCAACCTTTCCTTCGCAGACTTTAAACGCATGGGAAAACGGGGCGTACTGATTGGCTTTACTACTATGGGCAATATGATATCGGTATTGATAAAGAGTGCCTTCAGTAAACTTCCTCTAAAGCAGTTTACAGCCAAAGCAAGTACTGGGGACCTGGAAAAATTGGCTAAGCTTGTGCAAGAAGGCAAGCTGAAAGTGCATCTTGATAAAACTTACCCTTACACCGAAACTGCCGATGCTATAGCCTACATTGAAAAGATGCACACCCGCGGTAAAGTGGTAATGGTTTGGGAATAAAAAAACCTTCCAGGTCTCTGGCACGCTGGCAGAGCTCTGGAAGGTTTAAAAGATATAATGTTCAATATTTTACAACATCTCAAAAATGCCGGCTGCGCCCTGGCCTTCACCTACGCACATGGTAACCATGCCGTGTTTTTTATCGCGCTTTTTCAACTCGTTGAAAATTTGAACGGACAACTTTGCTCCGGTACAGCCCAGCGGGTGTCCCATGGCAATGGCGCCTCCATTAACGTTCACGGTATCTTGATCAAGATCGAGTTCGCGAATTACCGCCAACGACTGTGAAGCGAATGCTTCATTCAATTCAATCAGGTCAATATCTTCCTTTTTCATGCCCGCTGCTTTAAGCGCTTTGGGAATGGCTTCCACCGGACCAATACCCATTATGCGTGGCTCCACGCCAGCCGCCTGATAGGTCACAAGGCGGGCAATCGGCTCCAAGCCTAATTCCTTCACCATCTTTTCGCTCATCACCACGGTAAAAGCCGCGCCATCACTCATTTGAGATGAATTTCCGGCCGTAACCGTTCCTTTGGCCGCAAACACCGAGCGCAATTTGGCCATACGCTCCAGATTGGTGTCAGCGCGGGGACCTTCATCGGTATCAACGGTGTACTTCTTGGTTTTACGCTTTTCATTTTCATCCAGGAAAACCTCTTCAATTTCCATCGGAATGATTTCATCTTTAAATCGACCTTCCTTAATGGCCTTTAAAGCTTTCATGTGCGAGTTGTAGCCAAACTCATCCTGGTCTTCGCGGCTTACCTTGTACTTTTCGGCCACCGCCTCTGCCGTAAGGCCCATGTTGTTGTAATAATCGGCATTGGTTTGGGCCAGCTCATAGTTTGGAACCACCTTATAGCCACCCATGGGCACGTAGCTCATGCTCTCCACTCCACCGGCAACAACGCAGTCGGCAAAACCGGCATGTATTTTAGCCGAAGCAATGGCAATGGCTTCCAGGCCACTGGCGCACCAACGGTTTACGGTTACGCCCGGCACTTTTACGGTATCGAGTCCCATGAGGGATATGATGCGCGCGATGTTCATTCCCTGCTCGGCTTCGGGCATGGCGTTGCCCACAATCACATCGTCAATGCGATCTTTATCCAATCCAGGAATATCATCGGTAATAGATTTTATAACCCTGGCTGCCATCGTATCGGGACGTAAAAATCGTAGGCCTCCCTTGGGGGCTTTTCCTACTGCGGTGCGTTTGGCGGAAACGATATAAGCATTCATATTTTATTTTTTTTAAGATTCGAATTCTTACTTCTAATTATATTCTGGTGTAGTACAAAGAGGGAAGTATTAAGACTTTCTGACTATGTACCCGCAAGTGAATTTGTTAAAGCATAATTCATATTCTGAATTTGTTTTAGACCATCAATAACTGAGGAAATTTGCTCATCGTTCACAAAGCCCAGCCGTTCAGCAAGCAACAATTGAGTTTCCAACTCATTGGTAGATCCATTTGAAATATTAAGAAATCTAACAAAATCTGGGTTGGTTCGTCTTCCAGCCCCTTCTGCAATATTGGATGGAATNNTGATTGCGATGTCAGGCCAAATTTTTCCTCATCCGGGAATTGCTCGGTTAGCTTATAAATCTCAACCGCAACATCCATCCCCTTTTGCCAAATTTTTAACTCTTTAAATCTATGCATGATTCTTTGTTTTAGTTGGTTAATTTATGTGCTTACATCTTCATATTTCTTTGTACTTCACTCTTTGTACTTCCGTCTTACTACTTTGTACTAATTACGAAGCGGCTTCCCCGTCTTCAACATGTGCTGTATGCGCTCCAGAGTTTTCTTTTCAGTGCATAAGCTAAGGAAGGCTTCGCGTTCTAAGTCAAGCAGGTACTGTTCGGAAACGAAGGTGGATTCGCTCAAATCGCCTCCGCTCATTACGTAAGCCAATTTCTCTACCATTTTCTTTTCGTGCTCGGTAATGTAACCGCCTTCCAACATGGTATGGGCGCCTACTTTGAACATTCCAAGGCCCTGGCGGCCCAACACTTTAATGTCTTTTTCTTTGATGGGCATGCGATAACCCGTATCGGCCAGGGCAATGGCCTTTTCCTTGGCGTCTGCGGTTAGGCGATGCCTATTCATGGTAATTCCATCGCGGCCTTCCACAAAAATGCCCATTTTAAAGGCTTCTTTTGCCGACTTGGCCACTTGCGCCTGCCCAATCATAAATAGGTATTCGCGGTAAGCATTTGTTTCAATGTCGTCTTTCATGTAGCGCTGGCTGGCCCTGCGGGTAAGCTCCTTGGTGCCGCCTCCGCCAGGAATCACGCCCACGCCAAACTCCACCAGCCCGGTGTAGGTTTCGGCTGCGGCCTGAACGGCATCCGCGTGCAGCGACATTTCACATCCGCCACCGAGCGACATTTGGTGTGGCGCCACCACTACCGGAATGCTGCTGTAGCGTACGCGCATCATGGTATCCTGGAAATATTTTATGGCAAAATTCAACTCATCGTATTCCTGTTCAACCGCCATCATAAATATCATGGCCAGGTTGGCACCCACCGAAAAATTGTCGCCATTGTTGGAAATCACCACACCACGGTAATCCTTCTCCGCCAGCTCAATGCCTTTGTTAATTCCAGATAAAACCCCGCTGCCCAAGGAGTTCATTTTGCTTCTAAACTCAATGTTCAGGATGCCATCGCCCAGATCGATAACCGCACATTCCTTGTTGCTCCATACGGTTTTATTGGGACGAATATTATCGAGTACGATAAATTCTTCCGCGCCAGGAATGGTCTTGTAATCCTTATCGGGAATGGAGTAATATTGTGAATTGCCGTCTTTCACCTGGTAAAAAGATTCTTTGCCGGCCTCCTTCATTTCCTGCACCCAATCGGCTGCTTTTAAGCCTTCCGCCTGAATGAGTTCCAAACCTTTATCCAGGCCAACGGTATCCCAAATTTGGAAAGGGCCGTGTTTCCAGCCAAAACCTGCGCGCATGCCCTGATCGATGCGGTATAATTCGTCCGCTATCTCGGGAATGCGGTTGGAGGCATAAGCGAAAATAGAGGCAAAACTTTTGCGGTAAAACTCACCGGCTTTGTCTTTGCCCTTTATCAGGATGGGGAAACGCTCGCGCACGTCATCAACCTCTTTGGTAAGGTCGAGCGTTGGAAATTTAGATTTCTTTTGAGGTGTGTATTCCAGCGTATCTAAATCGAGCGATAGTATTTCAGATTTTCCATCATCGCCTTTTACCTTTTTGTAAAAACCCTGTCCGGTTTTTGAGCCCAACCACTTGTTTTCCTGCATCTTTTGCAGAAAGTCTGGCAGTTTAAATTTTTCTTTTTGTTCATCGCCTTTCAGCGATTGATCCAAACCGTTGGCCACGTGAATTAAGGTATCCAAACCAACCACGTCTGCCGTACGAAAGGTAGCCGACTTGGGGCGACCGATTACCGGGCCGGTGAGCTTATCAATATCTTCTACCGAAAGGTCTAAATCCTGCACTTTATGGAACAAATCCATAATGCCAAAAACACCAACGCGGTTGGCGATAAAGGCCGGGGTGTCTTTCGCCAAAACGGTGGTTTTCCCCAAATGGCGGTCGCCATACTGCATAAAGAAATCAATCACCGCCTGATCGGTATGAGGCGTAGGAATTATTTCCAAAAGCTCGAGGTAGCGCGGTGGATTAAAAAAGTGGGTGCCCAGGAAGTATTTTTTAAAATCTTCGCTGCGGCCTTCGGTCATCAAATGAATGGGAATGCCCGAAGTATTGGAAGAAATATAGGTGCCCTCTTTTCGGTGCTTCTCCACCCGCTCAAACAAGCTTTGCTTGATATCGAGTCGTTCCACCACCACTTCAATAATCCAGTCGGTTTTTTTGATTTTTTCCAGATCGTCATCAAAGTTTCCGGTGGTAATGCGGCTGGCATAACTCTTATCAAAAAGCGGAGCGGGATTCATTTTTACCGCTTTTTGGAAATGCTCGTTTACAATGCGATTACGCACGCGTTTGTCATCCAGCGAAAGCCCGGCTTTTTCTTCTTGTTCGGTTAACTCTTTGGGTGGAATATCGAGGAGCAATACCCGTACGCCAATGTTGGCCAGGTGACAGGCAATTTGACTACCCATTATTCCAGAGCCCAATACCGTTGCGTGTTGAATTGTTTTCTTCATATCCGTGATACTATGCTTTTTGATTGATGTTTTCGATAAAATCTTCCTGTGAAAGCATATCGTGTATACCTTCTATAACCTCAAAAAATACTTTTGTTTGCCTTTGCGAAAATTTACTGCGAAGGGCTTGGTTGAATCCGATCACTGCGGCCCGGGCATCTTTGCGTTTTTCAATGCCAAAAGGGGTAAGGAAAATTAATACTCCCCGCCCATCGTCTGGGTTCGGTTTTCGCTCAATAAGCCCTTTCTCTTCCATGCTTTTCAGCAGACGAGAAAGACTAGTGGCTTCGGTGCCCATTTTGGGGCCCAGGGCGGTTGACGGGGTGCCATTTTCCTTATCAATATTGAGAAGCACAAAACCAGTGGCCATGCTAACGCCATAACCCGATGCAATTTGATTATACATCTTGGCGATGCTTTGCCAGGTGCGCTTTATGTGAAAGTCAAAAGTTTCTTCGGGTTTCAATGCTGCCAATAGATTTATCCGCTAAGATAAAAAAATTATGCATGCATAGTAGTTGGGTGGTTAGATTTGAGATGTGGGATTTGAGACCTTAGACCTCTATGACCTTAGAAAGGTACAAAGATTGAAGTATTAAGTATTAAGACTTTCTGCCCGGAAGCCTTCAACATTGAACCTTAAACCTTGAACCTTAAACTTTGAACTAGTAACATCAAACCCTAACTCACTTCCTCGGCTGATGCCCCGCTCCCGCACGACTCCTGTCGTGTGGTTAATGATTATTAAATCAATTTGGAAGCTTTTTTAAACAAGCATCTACGCGAGAGGAATCGCGCAGTAGCTGCGAGCCGCAGAGACTGAACCACCTCTTTTCGCGCATAATAACCGGAGGAGTAGAAATTGAGAGGGTTTTTTATTGAGTTGGAAACACCTTGAGTGAGCTACAATCAGGAGCAAGACACTTAGCACTTGATCCCCCTCCTTTTCATATAAAGCCCGCTGGTGCAGGCCACTTTCTTTCCAAAACTCAATGGTCACTAGCATCTCTTTTTGCGTTTTAGTGATGTTTGCATAAGGCGAAACTACCCAAGCAACCGAATATAGACAAGATGAGGGTTTAACGGTCGGATTCTACAAGTTGGCATTTGGTCATTAATATAGAATTTGTATTGCTGATAAAAATAAAAAGCTTAAATTGTACCAAGTCATAAATCAACCACAACTCTTATGAAAACCTTATTCACTGGCTTCTTAACCCTTATCATATTTTTTGCTCAAGCACAGGAACCTGCAGGCATCTCCAGACCCGGCAAGGGTGTTACAGTTTTAGATAAGAACCATAAAATATTTAAAACCAAAGCCTATCATAAAAATAATGATAAGTGGTTCTTTACCGACAGCATTAGCCAAAAGAACTACGAAGCAGACACTTCCGTAATTACCATAAAATTTAAACCTGTGCTTGCGGACACTTCCATAGTCTCCATAGCCCAAAGATATGGCATCACCTACCTACGAAAGTCTAAAACCGGGTGGTATGATTACAAGGTGAATTCTAAAAACTTTTTTGCTGTGGTTGACTCCATGGACCTCGACTCCTCCACCAAAGAAGTAATAGTGCCTTACTTTATGGAACTGCACGATGTGCAACCTGATGATCCCGAGTTTATTAATCAATGGCATCTTACTACTATACAAGCGCCACAGGCATGGGATATTCAAACCGGGAACCCTTCTGTGGTTGTAGCGGTAATTGACGGACCTATAAAATACACTCATGATGAATTAGGACTCGGTAGTGATAACTATGATATATTTTTTCGCAATCCAGGTGAGGACGCTTGGCCAACACCTTTTTCAGGAGGAAACAATGTAGATGATGACAACAATATGAAAGAGGACGATTGGATAGGTTGGAATTTTCATAATGGAGCGGAATTACCTTCTGGCAATGATTGGCATGGGGATAGGGTAACAAGTGTTTTAGCGGGTAAAACCAACAATAATAATTTAACAGCCGGTGTTGCAGGAGGATGGAACTCACAGGGTGTTGCCGTATTACGATTACAAATTGGAAATGGCGCTGGAGCGATCTCAGCTTCACTTCTTGATGATGCAATCGACTATGCTGTGGAGATGGATGCTGATATTATCAATTATAGTTCTGGAGGCTCTGGTTTGGGCCAAGATGGGCGGGATGCTCTGACCAATGCTAAAAATGAAGGTGTTTTAATTGTGGCATCTTCGGGAAACGGAAACACCAACCAGGTGGATGCCCCAGCCCGTTATTATACCACAATGGGCGTAGGTGGTACTGATATAAATGATCAGCGGGCAGTTTGGAGTTCCGGTACTCAAGGAGCCCAGTATGGCAATGGTATTTTGGTAGCAGCACCGGCTAAGGATATTGTTACCTCAGCGGCTAATTCCAAATGGGTTACTGATGGCACATCTTACGCAGCCCCTATAGTTAGCGGCATTGCAGCCCTCATGTTATCTGAGAATCCTTGTTTAAGCAATCTTCAGTTACAGGACATAATGGAACAGACAGCAGAAAAAGTAGGCAGCTATGGCTATAACTCCGCTGGCATAAGTAGTGAATTGGGTCACGGGCGGGTAAATGCCTTTGAAGCGGTAAAGGTGGCTCAGGAAATCCAATCTACTGAATTGGATCTCTACCTGAAAGATAGTGACAATGACTTCGGACAAAGCCCTTCCCCGGGACATTTTACTGATAGGGGACCGGATATTTGGTATAGGAATGATAACGATGGTTTTGCGAACCAATACACAGAACCGCTGAACTTTGATGGGACGAGCTTTTTTGTTTATGTGCGTGTTAGAAATAAAAGTTGTGCTGATTATAGCCAGTCTGACCCGGGCCAGCTTAGCCTGCACTGGAGTAAATTAGGAACGGCCTCTTCTTGGACAGATGGGCATTGGCACAATTTACCCGAAGGTGAAAAAATCGGAAGTCTGGATCTACCTGATATTAAGGCAGGTAAAAGTGCTATTCTTGAATTTGAATGGGACATGGCGCACGTACTAAGCTCTGCTTCAGCACATGTGCACGCCTGTTTGCTGGCCAGAATTGAGAATGTTACTGATGATGGCATAGGCTCATCTCAAGTAGCTCTTTGGAATTCGGTTAAGAATGAGAATAACATCACAATGAAAAATGTGGAGATTCAATCCGCTCAATTTTTTAAAAATGGCAATCGAATTCCAATCATGATAGGTGGAGCTGATTTAGATAGCACCATTTATAATATCCGCTTTCATGCCCCTGAACATTTTATAGGGAACGCTTTGTATGAAGAAGCAGAGATTATGGTTTACATGGACCAAGAAGTTTGGAACAAGTGGGAGCAAAATGGAAGCCAGGGGAACAATATACAAATTGAAGATGCCGGAGAACGGTCGGTATTAATTACAGGTGATAATGCCACCTTAGAAAATTTACCCTTTGAGCCTTTGGAAAGAGGTCAGATTGAAATCACAGTGCACTTCCTGATGGATGATATGAGCGATAAAAACGAATTTTTATACCATGTGAGTCAGGAGTTAACCAACTCGGAGATGGTAACCACCGGGGCTGTTCACCTTACCATATTAAAAGAGCCCCGTGAGCCTTTTGATGCTGATGCCGGTGAGGATGATGAAATATATGAACATGAACTCCACTCACTGCAAGCCACACCAATAAATGAACCGGCCACCTATAACTGGTATAACGAAAAGGACAGCCTGATATACACTGGCACAGGGTTTACCGTGAGCCCCGATTCCACCACCAACTATAAATTAGAAGTAAAGGCCCATAAGGATGGGTTTAAAGATTATGACTTTGTAAATATAAAGGTGAAACACAAGTGGATAAGCTCTGTTAGCCCCAATCCTTCTTCAGGAATAACGGTTATCAATTACAACCTTACACCTGGCATACAGAATGCCAAGGTGAAACTGCTTAACCAGCAGGGCACCGTTTTATTGCAGCAAACCTGCAGTATTCAAAATACTTCCACAACCCTGGACGTAACTTCATATACACCGGGACTCTATACAATAGTTTTAGAGTGTGACGGTGAAGATGTAGAGGCAAAACAAATTGTGGTCCAATAAAACCCTTAAATCATGAAATGTCTGATTTTTTCCCTGTTGCTTTTGGCAGGAACATTAAGTGCCCAGCAAATCACCAACGCAAGTTTTGAAAACTGGCATACGGTACCTGGCACCCGGGGCGCTGAAGACCCGGACGGGTGGGAATCGAACAATTTCATCCTGGACACCACCACCGGCTATGGGGTTTTCCGGTCCACTACCGCCCATTCCGGCAATTATTCAGCCCGGATTGAACCGGCCCAGAAAAAATATCAACGGGTAGGTATTTTATCTCTGGGAGAGTTGATGTTTCAAAACGGTTTTGTGGATTCCAGGTGTGGCGACAGCCTTGGTTATGTACCTTTTATTGTAACAGGTTATTACCAATACCATGCGAACGATATTAATGAAGAAAAAGTGGAATGCAATATTTCCTTAACTGAAAGTCGCTGTAATAGCGGTTTGACGATGCCCCCTCTTATTGGTGGCCAAACATTCAGTACCACGCATTACTACAGCAAGTTCCGCCCTTTCGCTATCCCGTTTGAAGTTAACATGGACAGCCTGTATCCAACTAGTTTCATCTCTATTTCATTTCAGTATTCTGACCCGGATTCTTCAGCAGCGGGTGGCTATTTTTTGGTAGATGATATTGGCTTGGAAGGTGAAATTCTAAGCTCCGAAAACTTTTCCCCGGCAAGGGAAACAAAGCTGGAGCTCTTTCCCAACCCAGGCTCAGACAAGATTTTTATCTCGGGGCTAAAGGATATCAGGTCGGTGGAAATCCTCAACCTTCAGGGCAAAGGGATACTTTCTTTCCAAACCGGCAGTACGGCTTTAGATGTTTCTTCCCTGGGCGCGGGCTGTTATTTTGTTGTGGTGCAAACGGCAA